AATAAGCCTAGACTTTGAATCTTAAAGTTTGTGGACACATATCAGCTCTGTTGATGTTTTCCAAAAGGTGAAATAGTGAGAAAAAATAATATAAAAATTTTCTGAGAAAAAATAAAATAAAAATTTTCTGAGAAAAATAAAATTTTGAAATCTGCCAAATAAAAATGCTGAAAAAATATAATGCAAAATTGAATAAACGCCAAGAAACCTTTGAAAAAAACACCAATAATATATCAACTAAAATCAAAGAAATAATAGATCTTGAACAAAAAAGCGTTAATGAGAAAAACATCAAAGAAAATACTAAAGAACAAGATATTTACTTAAGACGGAATTATTGATTAGCTTTGTAAAGTTTTGACTTTTATATGTAAGCCACTATTTTATCGGTCATATGAGGTGTGATCTATTAAAACCAGTGTTGGCCGTTTTAGGTCATATCCAACTTTACATGACCAAGGTGGTCATAATGTATTATGTAGTAAATTTTATAAGTCATAACAGGTCATAAGGTCATAACCTATAATTGGCCAATAGGTCATAACAGGTAATAGGCCAACACTGATTAAAACAGCCCATTTTTACATATACTGTAAATTTTGAGTAAATCGATTTTAAATAATGATTTACAAATAATAATACATATAAAATTTTTAACTTAAAGTTTATTTTGTGAAACTTTTTATTATCTACGTATTCAAAAAATCAAATAAAAAAATTTTTGAAAAATTGTAAAAATGGGCTGTTTTAATAGATTACACCTCATATACGTAGTAAATTCTCATAAACTTTTTTTATAGATCGACGAATGTTATATAAACTCTTTAACCAGAAACCTGCATAAATAAAATTACATTCGTTAAGTTCGTTTTAACATGCTCTTTAAAGTAATAACTCTATTTTTTTTTATATATATATTATTGTCTAGAGTATGGCGAAAGACTCGAAATTTTTATGCAAAGTTCTCGTTTTTGATGCATTTTTTATAAAAAAATCAAAAACGTAACAATGAAAATTCTGTTTGCACCGTTGCAAATGTTGTGTTACACGTTATTACTTTAAAAAGTATGTTAAAACAAACCCGACAAGTATAATTTTATTTGTGTGGGTTTGCTATTTCAAGAGTTATTGCGGCTTGAATTTTATTGAGAATTTACTTATACGTATGACCTGTACTATGTTTGTAAATCTACTGATTGCATACACCCTAATATCTGATATAGAAGTTCATCTACTTTTTAGGTTAGTAGTTCATTTCTGACGAAAAGATACGCCATAGGATTGTGTCACGCTGCGACTCCTACAATTTATAGACGCTACACATTACATCATAGTAGCCATTTACAATAGACGTTGCGCAAATATCACGTGACGAAGCTTAATTGCCTTTGCCATGATAATAGCATAGTTAAACTAACATTTTGCTAGATAAATTATTAAACCAAAACTATATTATGCTCTATAAATATTTATCAATGCGCTGCACCTAGCGTGGGCCCCTATTGCGATGTGTCATGCACATGCACGATTCTCTAAGCTTCGTCACGTGATATTTGCGCAACGTCTACCAAGAATTGTAGTTTATACAGTAAGTGGTTATTATGATGTAATATATTGTTAGAGCCGCAGCATGACACTCACTGGTAGAAAGTGGTACTTTTTACTAGATAATGCATTATTAAAATATGTTTAATATTGTCTATTATCCAGTAATTAAGTAAAGATTTGTACTATATTTTATAATATATTTCCTAGAAAAAATTTAATTTATTTGACCAGTGACTACTCCCATGGTGTATCTTCTCGAGTAAATAAACTGATCCGAGCGAGAATAGCTTATTACTGTACTATAGTACCATGCATGCATATAGTTTGAGCTTTAATGGTCAGCCAACCTAAAAAGTAGATGAACTTCTATATTTAATAGATATTACTTTTATGTTTCTTTTAAAAATAGTATACAAAATTCCTTAATCTTTCTTATAAGTGACACCTGATAGTTCAGAGGATAGTGATGACAAAGTTTTTTTTAAAAACATGTGATGATTATTATCTGAATATATTTTAAATCCAGATTTGACTATTCGGATTTAAATCATCACATGTTTTAAACCGGTGAAAAAATGTTTTAAACCATTTTTTTATCATCCCTATCAGAGGACCAGAATTTTTTCTTATGGAATTCTTTTTACGCATTTTAAAAGCTAGTTTTATCATTTAAAGATACAAATTCTTGAAATTTTTTTCTTTACCGTTAAAAATTGCATAAAGAAATTATGACTACATACTCAAACAACTCAAATGATAATAAGGAAGAACCAACTGAAATCTCAAATGCTGAAGAAAGAAGATTATTGAGAAAGATTGATATTAGAATAATTCCTTTATTTATACTTCTTTATACTCTTTGTTACTTGGATAGGTATTTAGTTCAAGATCCAATTAATCATTTAGTTTCGTGATTTCAATCATTAATTATTTTGCTTCTTTTTTTAGAGTTAATATTGGAAACGCGAAATTGGCTCATTTGGAACATGATCTTAATTTAACTGGAAATGAATATAATTGGTCTTTAGGAATATTTTTTGTGTAAGTCTCGAAATTTTAATTTTTTTTAGTAAATAAATTATTAATCTTTTAATGTCTTTTTTTTTTTAATCTTGAACTTTTTATTTTTTTTAGAACTTATGTATTTTTCGAAGTACCATCCAATATTATATTAATTAAAATAAAACCTTCAATTTGGAGTAAGTTTTTTTCTATAGATAAAAGTACCAGTTATATAAATATATACATGAGTACTTACTTATTCTCATTGTTAAATTGGTAGTTTCATCCCTCATGGTCGGATGGGGTGTCGTAATGATAGTTATGGCATTCGTAAGCATTAAATATTTCTCTAGTAATTGTGGTAATCAGTAATTTACAGTTCAAATTCTGAGTTGTTATTCTTTACAATAAGGTAAAAAATTACTATCAGTTATTGGCGACAAGATTATTATTAGGATTTTTCGAGGCTGGTCTTCTTCCTGGCGTCATATTTTACTTTACAAAATGGTATAAAAGATCCGAGCAAACTTACAGAGTTGGTTTATTTTATACTGGTTGTTTGATGGCTGGTGCATTTAGTGGATTTTTGGCATATGCTATTATGGGTATGGATGGTAAATTTGGACTGAGTAGTTGGCAATGGGTGCGTATAAATTCTTTGTTTTTAGTTACAATCACAAATTCTTATTTGTTTTTTTTTTATTTTCTTTCTTTTTTTTTTTTTTTTTTTTTTTTGAAATTTAGATATTTCTTATTGACGGATTAGTGACGGTTTTTGTTGCATCTTTTTCCTATTTTTTGATCTCAGATTTTCCGGAGACTACTACTTGGCTTACAGAGGATGAACGAAAAATTGTTATTGATCGTTTACAGAATGATTTAGGAGATATTACCGCAACTGATTTGGATAAATATCAAATCTACGAAGCTTTTAAGGATTGGGTGCGTCTATAAATATTACTATCTATTATAGATTGGTTAAATTATTTCATATAATACTATTGATTTATCTTATTATCCTATTTATTAGAAAATCTACATAGCTTTATTTATTCAATTCATTTCGGCAATTCCTGTATATTCTTTTGCTTTTTTTATTCCGTCGATTGTAAATGGTCTAGGATTTAATCTCGGTATGCTTAAATTTCATTATTTACTGTATAATATAAATTGATTATTGTTTACAAATATATAATTTACTTTTCTACATTAATTATTTTATTAGTTATTTCTCAACTTCTTTCTGTTCCTCCTTTTATCTTGGGATGTTTTGCAACGATTATTATTTCGATATTATCTGATCGATCCGGAGTTCGTGGTCCATATTTAATTTGTAGTTCTTTGATAGCAATTGTAGGATATGTATTACTTGTGATTCCGACTTCCAGTATTGCCAGTAAGTTTTTACCTGTAAATTTTAATATTATATTCTTTACTTCAACCGTGTTAAAGGTTAATACTATTATTTGGTACTTAGTAAAATATATCGGACTTTGTTTTGTTTGCATGGGATTGTTTTCATTTATTCCTGTATCAATTATATGGTAAGTTTATTATATCACTATATACATATACAACTTTTCCCCAGTATATATCTTTCTTCTTACCCCTCTAAAATCTTTAAAAATTCAAAAGGTTAGCAAATAACCTAGCTGGCAATTTAAAACGTGCTGTAGGTAGTGCAATTATGATTGCAAGTGGTAACGCAGCTGGAGTAGTAGGTTCACAATTATACCAACCTCAAGACGCTCCAGCTTATAAATTTGGTCACATCACTGCGATACTTCTTTTATTGTTTACAATAATCTTAACGATAGTTCAATATTGTTTATTAAATAGAGCTAATAAACTTAAAATTAAATATCCAGAAAGATTTTTAAAAGGAAAAAGTAAAGAGGAAGCTGTTGTTTTGGGTGATAAGCATCCATCATTTGTTTATCGCTTGTAAACGTGTGATTTTTATAATCTCTAGATATTAAATATATTTATGATTCTCTCAAATTACTTGTTTAGATAAATATTTAGAAATATTATTACTCTTATTGTAAATATATATATATATATATTTTTCTAAAAAATAAAAAAAATTAAATTAAACCAAAAATGCAGTTTATAATCCTTTTGATAATTTTTTATGTATTATAATTTGCTTAAAAGTTTAGGATTTGGAGCAGAACAATTATGTATATTTCTAGTACACATTAAGCTTTTGTTATTTTGATACACATGCCGAGATCTTTTTATAAGGACCCTATGAACAATTAAATTTGTGGAGGAACTTCTTTTTATATAAAGTTTTCAATCAATCTGATCTTTTAAATCTCATTTCAAAGTCATAATATATAGAATAAATTATTTTTCTTTTTTCGACGTATTATCAATACAGAATTAATAAAATTAAATAGCTGCGCGAAATAGTCGCGCCAAACCAGGAACGGAAGTGCATAATTTTATTTTTTGAACTTTTTTTTGTAAGTTAATTTCGGTATGTGATCAAATTATAATCACCAAACAAATGACTGATTTTTAAAAAAAAATTTCTCCAAAATGAACTTTCCCGATTCAGAATCGGATGGGAATTTTGTAATTTTGCCCCAAATCACACTGACTAAATTAAGATTTTAAACCCTAATCGTATGGACGTAATTTTTTGATTTGGTGATTATTAAAAATTAGACGATTAGCTATAAAATTACTTATAAACCGCTTATAAAACTACAACTTTTATTTTTTTTATTTTTTTTTTTTTAACGATTTCAATTATCAATTCCATCATATCGTTTAATATTAATAAACACAGAATTCCTATCAAAAATTATACGTCCAAGCCCTAACCTAATTATGCCAAGATAATTTACAAACTAGGCACAAATTTCACTCCGATCTATGTCCAACCAATTTTAAATTTCTGTAATTGCTATTACTTACAATGGTGGCATATTAGTTTAAATCAAAATGATATCTCTTAAACTGTTTCTTGTACAAATTTGTACTAAAATTTTTTTAAAATTTTAAATATTAATTTTAGTTATATATTGTTTAAGTAAAAAATATATTTTGAAATATATTTTAATAACTTTGCTAAAAAAAATTTTTAAATTTATTAAAAAACTTAAGAGTAATAAGAGTTTAAATTTTTTTATTTTGAGTTTTTTATTATAACATTTTTTTCTTAAATTTTTTTTTTTTTTTTTTTTTTTTTTTTTTTTTTTTTTTTTTACTTTATATAGAGATTTTTATTAGTATAATAGTTTTTGAACAATGATTACATATATGAGAGTACAACTAGCTACATATACAACTTTAGATTGTCTAATTTAAGTAGTCTGCTTGAAGGTTCTATACTAGCTACTATATCTGAAATTTATTTGAAAATTTCTATTTAAACTCTCTGGCTATATGTCATTTCTATTCTGCTATTATTTGTTACCTAATATTCACTTAACCTCATACTATTTCACCTTTTGGAAAACATCAACAGAGCTGATATGTGTCCACAAACTTTAAGATTCAAAGTCTAGGCTTATT